GGCAACCCATTCATTAACTGGGGGAAAACTCCCAACACTGAGACATTCAGCCAGGGACTTGTGAATATCCCCACACCTGCTTGATGCCTCTCTCCCTGGTCATCTTTAGAGTAGGACAGAGTCCAGCCTCTCTCCAGGAGTTGGTTTCCAGAGCCCAAACTGTGTATAGAGGTGATCCAAACTATATCTAGTTGTTACCATTCAAACTCTAACACAAGCTCTTGCATCTCACTGGCTCCTTAACTGCCAGTGAGGTGACATTTCACATCCCTAGAGCTAGTCTATGCCACCAGGAATCAGCATGGCTAGGGACCCTCCCATGCCTGACGCATACAGCACGGGTGTGCCCCCACCCCCATCCACCCCTAGGCCTGGCTCAAGGATGGTGCCACAATTTCCCTATTCTGGGCAACGTTTCCTGTATCTGTTGTTTTTTAATCATGGTTTAGAATTGATTTTTGTCTGACCCCCTCCACTGAGGCCCGTTTGCCATGGGAGACTTTAACAGCGGCTGATGCCCGAAACAACCTAGCCCCCAGGATCACGAAGGTACTCAAACCCCTCACGTTCCTTGAGGTCACTTTCCCTCTGCGATTCTGTGGAAGGAAAGTGACCACAGATTGATAAACATCATTCATCCTAAAGGAAAACTCATCTCATTTTTAAGTTAGACAACATTTAGTAACATTCATTCAAATGTACAACACTGTCTTTAAGGGGAAATTTAAGAAATTTCAAGTTCCTATATCATCCATCCATTTCCTTTACCTTGTTTTTCCAGGAGCCACTAGTGTCTATTTCCATCAGTCACTGTGCAAGAGGTGGGGTACACCTTGAACAGGTCACAAGTCCATCACATGGACACACACAGACAAACAGAACATATATACCGGTATGTAAAAGAAAATGGCCAAGAGTGTCATTAAACAAGCTTCTCATGGGAACTTTTGTCCATGATCCTCCACAATCTTAAAAAAAGCATTGTTAAAATAGCCTGCTGACTCACCAGTTACTTATAAATATAAAAAAAAAAATTAAACTTTAGCCTTACCATTGATCTTAAATATTACTGTGAATATAAATAACACGCAGGAAAAAGTTTATATTAATTTTTAAGAGTTACTGTCAATATGCTCACTGGTTGTCTCAGTTACCTTATTTATATCTGTGCAATAAAATAATAACTGTAAATTGTCCCTAGGTGTGAATAAGAGCTTGTATGTTTTTTCTCTCATTTGTTTCTACAGTCATTTCTCCATTATCCATTCTCACCATGACTTGTTTCGACTCTACTCTGATCTATATGGTGTCTGTGGTTTTTTATTTAATTTGAGTTCTGTCACAATGGGGGCAGGATCATCAAAGCAATGCCTTTATTTTCTATTTAAGATAAACACAACATAGCAACAGGCAAATAAGTGAAATAAAGTCACAAAACACTCAGCATCATCTGCCATGTGGCCGAGTTGAGGCCACCTTCCGTATACTGGTCAGAGTCTGTAAATCGAGCCAATTTGGTCTAACTGTCTGAATTCTGTCATCAGTTAACAAGCATGGAAAAATCTGCACTCTCCTCATAATACCACAGTGTTGGTTTACGTGCTTGCAATTCCATCCATCCATCCATCCGTTATCTTTACTCGCTTCTTCCTTTCCAGGTCGCAGGGAGTACTGGTGCTCATAGTGTTGCCATTTCATACACACATTTATTAAAGAGTAAAGACAGAAAAAAAAAGCTGTGGTTGCAAGGTTTTAAAAAGGTGGGTTTGATTCTTGTGAAGGACATGCTCTCATGATTGACAGTGCTTTTGGGCCAACTAATGGCATGCAGTATGCTGACTTCAAATCTTCAGCTTGGCTTGACTTGCTTAGAACCTCGGGTGAGGAGGTATTAAAAACTGAGCTTAAAGCAGTTGGGATCACCCAAGAGAACGACTCTGAAGCCAAACTGAGTCAACTTGAGTTGAGTCAAGCCAAGCCAACGAAAAAAGTTAATTTGTGTCCCTGTGATGGACTGATGATCTGTCCAGGGTGTCCCCTGCCTCTCTCCCAGTGACCGCTGGGCATGAGCACCAGCTCATCAGTGACTCTACATAGAAAAGCAGGTAAACGGAAGTGATGGAATTATTTTACTTTTTTATTGTTTTATATTCATTCATAAATAATATGTGATATTACTTAGGCAGCAGTAGATAAAGTATATGTTTTGTTTTTCAGTTTTTAGGTAAAATCTAATTAAGTTTTCATTTTTGTTTAAAACCATGAAACCAGGTTAAAATGTATTACTGTTAAAATCTCATACTGTCCCATCCCTGTCCCCAACACATGCTCTTAGCACGAACAAATTGTGCAAAATGATTCTTTAAAATTTTAGCACACAAGGCAGCAGGTAATACGTATTTCTTTCAATGTTGCTGCATTTGCTATGCTAAGGCTTTCCATTCCAACTTCCTGTAAATTGAGTAACTTGCCATCTGGAGTGTTATTTTTTACTTAAAGAAGTGTAACATTTTTACTTTATACGTGAGCGCAGATAATAAATCTGTTCGTAAAACTGTAATTCCCATGTGTTATTAAGACCTTTGGCTCATGAAGAACAAACAATATCTTGATTGCTGTGTCTTGTACCTTGCTGTGTTTCATTAATGAAGACGAACCTCACTGAGATGATTCCATTCAGTGATTGGTTTCATTCTCTCCAATGAAATGATCAATCGCTTTATTTTGGTATTAATTTCCGGGTTGCTTGGGACATTCTTCATGAAGCAAACTGAACATTGTGGAGGACATCACACAGTCGTATTGGAACAGATACAACAGATGGTGTAGACATGGCAGCACTGATTGTGCTGAAATGCAGCCAGTTGGCCATCATGGACGCAAACAGGATGTTGTTATTGAGTCTAAGCAACAGTGTGTGAGAACTCACAATTACATGCATCACTCTATGATTTTCTGCTGCAGGATTCAGTAAAATACAGTACTACACGTATGTTCAAACAAAATGTAAAAATACGTTTTACTGCTCTGTACTTTATTAATTGAATTTTTTGTGCTGTCAAGCTTTCTGGTATTATCTTCTTATATGTTTTATGAGACTGTGTATAAATTTGGATTTGGTATGTTGGAGTACTGGTAGTCAAGCATCGTTTCAAATTGTATTTTTTAAAGAGTTCAAAGGATGTCAAAGAAATACTGAATGCTGATGTGCAAGTGAAAATGACTCTGTTTAATTTATGAAAAGAGCTTGAATGCTGGCAAAACTCTAGAAGAAGGTTCATAAAGAAACATGTTAAATTTTAATTACATTAACTTATGGTCCTGCTGAGGCTGGATTTTCACAAAAATCAAAGAAAAAAACCCCAGAAACAAATGGTCTACGACAAATCTAATTCAGCTTTCTTGGTGCTAGCTGGCCTAACCAAACCTAAAATTACACTTAAGAGAACAGAAATTATAACAGTAGTTTTCTTTTTTTAATTAAGTTTCATTTCAGACTGGACAGAGGATGATATAAACAGACATGTTCTGTGCAACATTTGATGCTATTCACTTGTAGCCATTGTAGTGTTGGTAATGTTCATTAGCTGTGAAGACAATCTTGTATTGGGATGAGATATGTTGCTGAACCTCAGTACAAATGTTCTTTTGCTTTATTAATCAACAAGCGGTATGCCGTGTCCCCCACCACTGAGGGGTTTGAACAGTGAATGTTTGTAGATTTGTAGATCAGTGTTTTTCTGGACTGGAAATAACATAGACTGCAAGTAAACCTTAATGTTTTTGGTGCAAGATATCCAAGTGTGTAGGAGTTAAACTGTGGAGAAGAACAGAGGGAGTTTTTTTATTTTAATTTTTTTTTCTTGTCCAAGGCAGTACAGAGTGAAGGATCCTGGCGAGTGGAGGGAGCAATTTATTCACTACCAGGTGGAAACCAGAGCCAGGGGGTGGCCAACAGTGGTCTTGGCCTAGATTAATTTTAGGCTACCCCAATCGTTTGAGGAAACTATACTTCTGAGCAATATAAATCTTAGAAAGCATATTTTCCTCAAATTATTGGAGTGGCCAGTTTACACACACACCCCACTACAAATCCTCATTTTTTACTGAGCTTCTCTTATGCCTAGATTCAGCCACACATTAAATTGGAAGTTGGTGCCTAATTTTTTTTAAAAGTTATCCAGCTCACATCATGGATGGATGGAGGATGTTTCCAATTATAACCATTTTCTCCACGATGAGGTACAAAAATGTACTAATGAATAAGGTGAAAAGTTCAAATAAATAGGCTTTTCACCAACACTGTAAAAACGTATCACCACTTCAGCAGCAGGCGATAAATGTAAAGTAATAAATTAAAGCAGCTGTAAAACAGACTTCTTACCAAATCCAGACAGAATATGAAAGCAGACTAAATTTATGGCTCTATCATCAAAAACATTCCACAAGTTTTGCTTTATTGCTACTGAAGTCCAAATGCAGCAAATTCTTGTTTCTAAGTTTATTTATCATAAATATAATTATAAGAATTCTGTAGTTTATTAGGCATAAAACAAAAAAGCAATAATTAGCTCAACAAAACAACACAGACAAAACCTCAAAATATTTTATATAACTATAAATGGACATTTTTATTTTAAAAAACAAAAACAAAGGATAACGTTAACAATCAACTTTTTATTTTATCGAACTTGTAATTCTGTGCAGTTTTGTATTCTCTTATTTAAACAGTGCAAAAACAAATAAAAACATACAGGCCCAACATGAATGTTTTTCTTGCCCTTAAAAATTAAAATGAATTATTTGATAAATGAAAACCATCATTTGGATAAATGTGGTCATAATTAAGATGATGACTATTCAATGTACAGGTTAATTAATGAATGTGGAACACACTGTAGAAAAAACAGGAAAATATTTGTAAAACATACATTTTTTTAAATGTTTTTTTTCTCTTAAATGTCTTCAACTCTGGACTCTGTTTTTTTTTTTTCTTCAAGGTGTCCAGTTCACTTTTCACTCCTTCCACCTGGAGGACCATCACGACTACCTCCTGATAACAGAAAATGGCAGCTTTGCTCAGCCCCTGGCTCGACTCACTGGCTCGGAGAGACCGGCACCGGTTAACGCCGGCCTGTACGGCAACTTCAAGGCCCAGCTGCGCTTCATTTCTGACTTCTCCATATCTCTACAGGGGTTCAACATCTCCTTCTCGGGTAAGAAAGCACATGTTGGCTCTTTCTGTAGGGGAAGTGGTGTGATAGTGTTGGTGTTTTGCCATGAAATGTTTGAAAGAAGGATGAAAGAAAAAAATGTGTAGAAATTAAGGAGTAGGATGTCTCAAAATGCGTTGGTGTTGTGAAGAACAGATGAAATTCCAGATTGAAAGGCAGTGACAGGCAGACTGATAAAAGAAAGAGACCATCTCTTTACAGTGAAGAGATCAAAAGCCTGAAGCCCATCTGAAGCATGCATCAAGTTTATTTTTCCTTTGTCGGTCAGTGGGCTGAGTCATGCCTCAGGGCTCACTGTTCCAGGCACATAATTACTACACAGGGAGGTCATACAGGTAGTAGGTGTCTGACTATGATAATAATACTCTTCAGAGCATGTGGGCCAGTTTCCTGAGGACTGAGGAGACTGCAGTGTACTGAAAAATAGCCCCCATACAGAGACCAAGGAATGCATAATTACAGAGAAGTGGAAATAGATGTTTTACTGAGAGATGCAGAGAGGAGGTGAGACTGATGGTGATGCTGAGACAGAGTTGACTGTCGGGGTGGAAAGAAAGCGAGTTGCCGCGACTGAAGGAGAAACATGGTCAGGAAGGAAATACTTTCATGAAGAATCTTGCTAACTATTTGCCTGTTGTTTGCTCAAGTGAAGCATGGATTACGCAGTCATGAATATTGATGAACCAGTTGCTGGTTGTGTGGGGTTTTGTCCTTACGTGCTCTATAATTAGCAGCTATAGATTTCTCTGATTGGAATTCATTTTTTGACCTTTTAAAACCTTTGATCAGATGCTCTCAGGCCACATTCTACTGCCACTATAATGCTGCCTCGGTCCCTAATCAATAGGCCTCTATAGTTCTGCATACAGGCCGAGACCCTGAGGCCCTATTTACACGAAGCCTCTGGAAATGCTACTGTTTTTTCAATGTTAATTGGGATAAATAAACAAAATAATTGCAAGTTTATATGGAAACGCTGTAGTTTCCATGCCAGGCAGAGTTGCCAGATAATAAATGATGAACAATTGTACTGTCGCTTTTAAAATGATTGTATTTGGACTCAAACTGTTGTATGTGCTGAGTGAGGGTGTTGTAAGAGGAGGTCTGTGTTGTAATGGTGATCATGTGCACAGAAAGGGTAGAAGACACACACAAAAAAAAAAACATACAATAGTCCCTCGTTTATCACGGGGGATCCATACCCTGAAGTCCTGCGAAAAGTGAAAAAACATGAAGTAGGAATAGTAGTACAGTAGTAAGTAGTAGTTTATTTTAGTATATATATGACATGTCGTGAACTCTCTGCCACAACTGCACTCTGTGCTCTCAGCCATGCACACTCACTTCTCCGCTGCAGAATGGAGATCAACAGCGTAGGGAGGAGGAGCTGCAGGAGGAAGTTTCTCCTGCATTGTGGGCAGCACACAGGTGCAGCAGGTGCTAAATAATTTAAAATTATTAATTTTAAATAAAAATTCCATGCCGATGTGTGGCTCAATTATCAGTCACCCATTGTGTGTCATTGTCAAAATTTTATTTTAAAAAAAAACGCAATAGAACGAGTCCGCGAAAAACGAACCATGAAGAAGCGAGGGACTACTGTATTCCTATTTATCTGGCAATCCTGAAGCTGGACTCAGCTGCGCGCATCACATTTGCACACATGCAGTGTTAGCATGATCACAGTTACATCCAACCTGGTGAATACAGGAGCTTTCCTTTGGACCTAGGATGTTGTTGATTTTTCTCCTCCCTGCTGAAAAATGGCGAGTACAGAACATTGCTCTGATATTTATTGTAACTGTTGCTAGTGCAGAAGATCTTTTGTGTGCAGCCACTTGTAGCTGCATGCCTACATGTGACTTCACACCTGTAGAGTATTTCACACCTCTGCATGGGGTTTCCTGGAAATTCAAACCTGGGCCAGACCTGGATTCAAAAACCTTCATTTTCAGAGATAACAAGGGCTGTTGTCATGTACACGAATGGCTGAACCACGGCAGAAAAGCTATGGTCCTACTCAAAATATGGGTCATGTAGACAGGCCCTGATGGCATTAAGGTGTTATTCTTCAAACCCAGCCTGAGTTGTATTTTCTCAAATTGTAATGCCACCAACCACTATCCATGTCTGAAAAGATTTGCACAGAGGGTGGCCTAGTTTTTAGAGCCCATCCTTCATCCAGACATCTTAGGCTTTGGGCACGTATCCCAACCTGATGAAGTGTCCTTGAGTAAGATAGTTAATCCTCACCGGCTACAATATTTCTCTCTGTGTCTTCAATGTGTAGTCGTCTTTGTAGCGTGAAACTAGAACTGATTTGTGGGGTTCATTTAGGATCAAGTTTAACCAACAGAGTATAAGCATCATAAATTTGTGAGGCGGTGTTTATTTGTTTGTGTGTTTACTCCTTGATCTTGTGTTTGCAGAGTACAATCTGGAGCCCTGTGAGGATCCTGGAACGCCTCGGTTTGGCTGGCACACAGGCTCCAGGTTTGGCATCGGCGATTCGCTGCTGTTCTACTGCAACACGGGCTACCGCCTCCAGGGGGCGAGGGAGATTGTGTGCTTGGGGGGTGGCCGCCGCATGTGGAGTGCCCCTCTGCCAAGGTGTGTGGGTACGTGGACAGCTGCTTTTCTTTTCTTGTTTCTGCACTTCTTAGACATTAGTCAGCGTTGATTAAAAACAATTTTTGGCACAGATACCAATTTTTATTAGAAATTAAAAAAATATTTAGGACATATTTAGTTAAATTATTACCTAGTCTGAGCTGGTGGCTCCAGATCTTTATTCTGCCTTATAGAGGCATTACATTGTGTTAATTTTTGATGTAGATACAGCAAAAACAAAACAAACAAAATAAAGAAACACAAGTGTCCACTCAGATCAGTTTATTCTGCAAAGTAAATCTGTTTTTGTATTCAAAGGAGCCAGTGAGTGCTTGAACAATGATCATTTAATACTCTGCTCAGTGTCCCATAATGCATCACTGCCAGTTGATAATGATTTTTACAACAAAAACGTAATAATTGTTCATCCTAGGAAAGCAGTTAAATTGTACCTTTATCTCTTTAGGTAATGACCTAGTTAAGCTATGTTTAGCTGATCCCATTTGCAGAGCAAATTGTCATTGAACCGATTTTGCCCGACTGATTTTGTATTTGTTTGTCTTTCCTGCAGCGGAGTGTGGATCCACAGTCTCGAACAATGAGGGAGTGCTTTTGTCTCCAAACTACCCGATGAACTATGACAACAGCCATGAATGTGTGTACAGCATACAGGTCCAAACGGGCAAAGGCATCAACATCACGGCCAGCACCTTTCAACTTGCACAAGGTGACATCATCAAGGTAAATCATCCCATTTTCTTTGCTAAAGATAAATAAAGAAGGAGCCTGCATAAATCTGAATAAATGTGTGTAATTTCACATTTAAGTATGTGAGCAGGATCTTAGTGGGTTTATTATGTACCGAAATGGGATTGTAAAGGAGGGATTTGATGGAGAAGTGCCAGCCAGAATGCATTTTTGTTCTGATATGAAAATGTGAGGTCAAACAAGAAACTGCAGCAGCTTTGCTTTCAGAAGAAAAGGATTTATCTCTGCTTGAGGACATTTTAGCAGTTTTGGTAAGCACCACAGATGGAATGTAAATAACTATGTGATGTAAATTGCTATGCAATCCTCACATCCCAGCTGGAATCCACTCTTTTGGGATGCAGATGTCTTGCCTAATATTCCAACTAACAGCATTCTTGCCTATAATTGTGTGTTTCTCACATTTGATCCTTTTTGTGAACGTGCAGAAAGTCATATAGGTCTGGAAAAAAAAAAAGTATTGCAGCTAGTATTTCAAAGTGGATCCCAAAGGTTTTCATTTCAAGCCATTTCACAATTATTTCTTTGTCAAATACTTGGGCGTTGAATTGGACCAAACACGTTGAGGCGGTCAAATAGCTAAATACATTTAGCAGAAAATCCAAAAACTCAAGTTTCTGTTCATGCAGACTAGGCATCTTGATGCAAACACTAAAAGATGCTCATGTCAGCCCTCATACAAAGTCACCGTACACCAGTGCCTCTTGGTGTGCAGGTCTTTCCAAGAAAAATAGAAATTGTCTGTAGACCTCACAAAACAAAATAGTCTGGACTCTTCTAAATGTCTCACCTCGTACCCACATAGGTCAGTGTGAGTTTGAACAGGTCAAGATGCTTCCAGTCAACCTCGGAGTAAAACAACTGAAGCTCAGTCACATACACCACGTACTTTACAGACAAGCTCCCTCCTACCTAGCTGCTTCCTTTAGTGGTAACAGAACCCGTCGTAATACCTGGGCCAGTCCGTTCTTTTTAGTAATTCCTTCTAAAAAATATTTTGGACAATCATTTTTTCTGATGCACTGGTGCTATAGCATGGAATGAGCTCCTGAGGCATAACCAGTCAATTTGTAGTAAACACATTTTTAAATCAAAGTTCAGCATTGTTCATGCAGCTACCTTTTTGATGAAGAGCTGAATTATTTTATCATGAATCAAGTCACAGGAGTCTCATTCCTCTTTGGTTTTGTTTCTTACACATATTTTCATTGTATAAATTGTTTATCACTTGTACACTGCTGTTTATTGTATATTTTTATTTTTTTTCTGTATCTGGTTTTTGTCCATTTGTTCATGTATTGGACCACAATGAAAATAAGTGTTTTCACATTCTTGTGTTATGCAAGTTTTTTTTTTTTTTTTTTTTTTTTTTTTTTTTTTTTTTTAGATGCACTATGTTTATATGTATATGCATTATTTTGACTAATTTAATGAATCATTTATCAGTAGGGAAAGGTTACATATATTGCTGGAAATGCACAAATGCATATCTTTATATCTAATCAAAAGGGTTGTTTTCCAAATAATTTATATAAGCTGTATTAAGTAAAATCTGTTAAAATATTATAAAAGCATCAACATTTAAAGATTAAAACGTAATAAATAAATGGATAAAAGACTGTACTAGCCTAAAGTGCAACACAACATGTGCCCTCATACCATCCACACACTTTCATAAAGCATTCTTCATCTGTTCTAATAAAGCCTTATGTTTGTGCACATTTAAGGTTTTTAAATTATTTGATTTTAGTAATAATTATAAAATAATATTTAAGTTTTTTTTTTTTTTTTTTTTTAGATTACGTACAACTGATGTGTTATGAACATATGGGGTAACTGTGCTCAAAGATAGTTGTGTTTAATTGTCAATAATGTCAGTTATTAAACATCAGGCCCCACCTGGAGAAAGAATAACTAATAACCAAACACTATCAGTCTTAAAGGTTTTAATTTCTGCACGTGCACATCTGAAGCTAGCGGTGTCTGAACTTCTTAGCCAGCAGTTCACACACTAAGCATACACAAGGATCAAAAACCAGACCTTCATTATGTGGAGTCAATATTTTATCTGCAGTAGACAGTAATTAGAGCAAACCTGGTTTGGAATGTCAGCAATACATTCTAATAAGACTGTTGAAGAAAAAGGGAGAAAACTAACCCAACAATACCAAAACTAATTAAAACATTTCACAACAGTTGGAGAAGGAAGCTGCAACTGTTGTGTCATAGTTAGTTATTATTTTGGGGTTCGTTTGGGGTTTTAGGTGGCACTATGACACAGTTGGTAGAGCTGCCACCTCTCAGCAAGATGGTCGCCTAATTAAATCCTAGCCTGGGGCCATTCTGGGTGGAGTTTGCATCTTCTCTCCGTGCGTGCGTGGGTTTTCTCCGGGTAAACCAGTTTCCTCACACAGACCAATAACATGCATGTTGGGCTGATTGGTAACTCTAAATCAGGGGTGTCCAATCCTGGTCCTGGAGTGCCACAATCCTCATGTTTTACAGGTTTTTCTTCTCCAACATATCTGTTTTTTTCCAATGTGAGATTAGTAGGCATCTTCTGAACATGAAGTCGTAACTGAACCATTAAATCAGGTGTGTTGAAGCAGTGAAACAAGTAAAACGTGCAGGATGTTGACCCTCAAGGACCAGGATTTGACACCCCTGCTCTAAATTGTCCCTAGGTGTGAGTGAGAGAGTGAATGGTTGTTTGTCTCATTTGTCTCTGTGTCCTTGTGATGGACTGGAGACTTGTCCTGGATCTCCCCCGCCTCTCGCACAGTGACTGCTGGATATGAGCACCAGTGACCCCCGTGATCCAAAAAGGAAGAACTGGGAAAATTTGATGGATGGATGGATGGATGTTTTTTGTTCTCCTTGAGTATTTCTGTTCAGGCTCATTATGAATGTGCCCTCTGATCCGTGTTGTTCCTGTCACAGTTTCTCATTCCACCCCATGCTCTATATTCTCAATCAGCTCACCTGTTTCCACTCGCTAATCACCCCTCCCAGTGTTTATTTACTCCTTTGTTTTTATCATAAGAAGTGTTCAGATCCTCTGATGACATCAAATCATAACATCTTGTCATGATGCGGTTTGCCTTTGGAGGTCCTTCACGTCTTTGGTTGAGTTGCCGGTGTTTGGTTTGAAATTCTTTCTGTCTCCTTTGTGTCTTATATTTGGATCCTGCTTTCAACTTCCATCCATCATTTTAAAAATTCTATGAAATTACAGAACTTTAAATTATTTCATTGATCTGTGACCCTTTCACACAAACTGTTTGTTGCAACACTCTTAAAATAATCTAGTTTTAAGAAGTTCAACACAAACCAGTAACATAAAGCAAACACTATTTTTGTAACCAAGAGTTGACGCAGTTTTTGTCTATTAACTAAATGTATTTTTCTGCTGTAATATTTTCCCTAGTCTTAACAGAAAAACTTGTATATTTTTGTCTTTGTTCAGCTTTATGATGGTAAGGATGGAGCAGCTCCCCTCCTCGGCACTTATACAGGCACAATGATGCAAGGCCTGTCCCTTACCAGCACTTCCAACTATTTGTGGCTTGAATTCTACTCGGACCACGAGTCGACGGCAGTGGGGTTCCGCCTCATGTACCACAGTATGTTGCATTTTATTTCCCTTGGGGATGAGGCTCCTAAACCTTATCCAAATGCGAATTTAGCCTCATTTTAAGAGCCTGGCATTTCAAGTAGCTGAGTTTAAAAGAAGGTTTTAATTGACCCTCACCCTGCCTCTTCGTGTCTCTCACTGTCAGGGAATCCATTAAGCCCAGCATGGTGTTTCTGCCCCTCTCCAGCAGGAAAATGAGCCATTTTCTTTTCGTCTTTCCTGTCCGTCTGTCTCTCTCTGTGTGAATTCCCGCTCCTTCTTTTCGTTTTGCACTCTACTACGGCAATTAGTGTCCATGGCTGCCTAACTCTACCTTGTTAAAACAACTGAATTATTGTTGGGACTGTTTGAAATCACTGCTTGGATGTGTGTAAAGTGTGCGTGAAGGTAGGTTAAATGAGTGTTTTTGGATAAACTGTTTACAGTGTGTGTTTTTCACATGCGTGAGTGCACGTGTCCACTGAAAGTTTTGGCCATTGTTATAAGTAGGCCAGTAATGAATGGGTAGAGTTAAGTTTCCCCTTTAATGGGCTTGCTGACTGTATATTGTTGCTAACCATTTCTAATCCATTGCTGTGCAAAGCTGCATTTTGCTATTCAATGTCAAGCGTTTTAGTGTTTCACCTCCAATCGAGTAATTTGAGTATTATTTTTTATGTGTAAGGGTTTAGATTGATAAAAAAAATAAACATCTAGTAAATTTAAAAAAAGGTTGGTTAGAGTTTTAAGCATTTTTGGAACTTGTAAAAGCATATTTTGATAATTTACACCTAACATGTCTATAGTTTTCAGTTTGTGACAATTACTTAAAATCTGCCAGGTACGGACATTAAAACTACCGATAGTCATCATGGCAGATCTGAGGAAAAAACAAAAAAAAGCACATTAATCAGTACTATAAGCTCATCACAACACAAAAACTAATTACCATCTGTTTCTAAATGCAACTCCAATTAGTTGAGCAGAAACGCCTTAATTACAAACAGCCCTGTTGAGATACAGAGCAAATTTTTAGGAATCACAGGCAGTAATTGGTTGCTTTTGTGATGTTTTTTTTTTTTTTTCAGGATATGCGGTCAAGGTAAAAAGCATTATATGGGCTTGCACCTTTTATCTATTTGAAAGCGCAATCTTAATTTGATGCTTTCATTTAGAACGAATGGCTCTTTTAAACCAGGAGAAGATTGACTGATGTTTGAATCAAAAGAGGGCAACAAGAAGGTGGGATAAGGCCCATTTAAATCTTGTCTGAACATGAAATCTGATCATGTTTTCATGACTTTTTTACCCAAAGGCCTGAGGTAATTTTCTAAATGTGAACATTAACTGCTGGAGATTTATATTGGGCATGACACTTGTAATACTACAGAGCTATAACACCTAGCACGGACACAAACCTCGCTGTGAGAGAAGCCCATAAATCAGCGCTGCTAGGTTTATGTGCAGTCACTGTTGCTGCATAGCAGAACGCTTGTGTTTTGTACCTGGAAGAGAAGAGCCCATATAAAGGCCATGGTCGTGTTCAGACAAAAGAGTTATTGCATCATTCTCTTGTTTGTGGCTGTTATTTAATGGGTTCTGTAATACCAAAGTGATTCAATTGGTCAGGCTGTTTCTCAATTGTAGTAAACGTCCACACTCAATTGAACATTTAATTGTGAATGTCTAATTGGGCTCTCTGTCCAAAAGAAATCATTTAGCACCAAGTCGTATAAAAGGACTGTAAGCCTTCATCTGTGCTCAACCGGAAATTAATTTACAAACCTCAATCAATACCTTTTTGCAATACAAATGGATGAAAGTGTGGCACAGTCAAACAAAATCGCTGCATTTCGATGGACTCCACTAAATGCTGACTTGCGTTTCTTCCATTTATGCTCGTATTTATAAAATGTTATCTCTTCAGGTTTCGAGCTGTCTCACTGTGATGATCCAGGGGTCCCTCAGTTTGGCTTCAAAATCAGCGACCAGGGACACTTTGCAGGAAGTTCCATCACGTTCGGCTGTGAACAAGGTTACACTCTGCACGGGAGCGCCTTACTTAAGTGCATGACTGGGGAAAGAAGAGCCTGGGACAACAACCTCCCCTCATGTATCGGTAATCCTTTTTCTATCTGTGCCTTCACCTTTTCCTCCTTCTTAAATTTATCAGACTAAAATCTCAGAGTCACTGTGTCTCATGGTCCACTACTCTCAATCTCTCTGCCTCTGTTTGTGCCTTATTTTCTTATTCAGAACAGGCATGCTGTCAACAGTGCTCAGCTAGGTGTTAATCCAAAGGATTTATCCCAACATGATTTCCACTTAATTGCCGGCTCTTGAATGAACACACACTGATTGTCATTTTGTAAAAGAATATAAACAACAGTGATGCTTTATTGCTAATCATTGATCTTTCTTTGCGTTGCTGATGCAGAACTGACTGTGCAGAATCATTAGGACCCCAAGAGTGAAGAACTCAGTTGCTATTGAGCTTTCATTGTACTGTGTTGACTCCGCTTCATTTATGGGCTCTGAGGTTTCAGTGTTTCGATCCACATTTGATCAATCTGTGTCTTTCTAGAAGTAGGGGCTTAATTATTTGAGTATTCATATCCCATGGCTACATGTACATGAAGCAGAGCCATGTTGAGACAAAGAGACAGAAATGTTAAACCGGCATGCAGCACAAAAGGTGTCAAGGAGCAGAATTAATGCTGGGTGTTAGAGCTGTCATTTCTAACCCGGACCCATGCCCAGCCCAACCCAAATTTAGGGTTGGGCTAGGCCGAGCCAAAATAATGTGCTGGATGGTCAAGCTGGGTTAGTCTCTTTTTTTAAAATATGGTTTTACACTTGTACAAATCATACAGCACAAAGAAACCTAAATAAGATGCACAATATAAAATTGTGTTAATCTACGTACTTGTGGAGGAGGAAGCAGGTCCGACCGGCCGGTTAAGTCCAGTTAAGCTTCAGATTGATCAGCTGATCACCGGCCGCGTGCGTCTCCACACCTGCTGTCATTTGCGGTGAAGGAAGTAGCAGCATCTACAAAAGCCGAAGCGAGCAGCACGTTCAATTAAAATAGTCTTGTTCTATATTTTTCCAAATAATTTTACTCTAAAAATATTTTTGTTCATCTGTATAATAGCCTGTCCTTACAGTTGATTTTTTTTAAGGCTATTCAATGTATGTTAATATCCATTTGGTGAAGCAAGAAATCTTATATCATCCTTTCTTTGAAATGCTTTCTTTAAATATAATTTCAAACTGATTTGCTTACAAAAGCAGTAAAAGCTTAATAAAGTTATATTGTTTTTTTTTTTTTTTTGTTTTTTCGGGTTTGGGCCTGTAATTACAGTTAATCTGTCAGATCCGGGTCGGGCTCGGGAAAAAAAAACTTACGAGTTTGGGCCGGGCCGGATTTTTTAGGCCTGAATGCAACTCTACTGCCAGTGATGAATTGGAAGTAAAAAATATTTATAAATTTCAAACGTGGATGGAATTGCTCTTTAAATGCCATTGTGCTTTCTCCGGCCTGTTTTTTCAGTGAAGCATGCCTTTGGTTTGTCATTGTGTACAGCTTAAAACAATGAGCAATAAAGGGCAAAAGACCTAAATCAGCTCATGAACTCCCCCTTTTTTTTAAGCATTGAATTTCTAAATGGTCAACATTTTTGTCTGTGTGCTGAATGCAAGAAGGAAATTCCTGCAATTTCTTGGAGGCCACATCCTCACTCCCCTCAAGTACTTTCACCACTGCCCTCTGTTATGATACTGATTGTAGCTCACAATTGTAGCAATCTAGTGCAATTTTCCCATTAATTAAGTGTCCTCAAGTCTGTAATTTAGAAAGCAAGATGATAACCGGAAAAGAGACAACACACTTTCTGGCTTGTTGATGAAATATTCCTCAAGTCTTTGAAAATGATTTTAACAGTATTTATCTAGATCAGTTAACAATCTTTAAATAGAATAAATCATTGTAATTATGCTTTGGTTGATTTTAAGGCAAAACATGTCTAACTTAAAATAAAAACACTTTTTTTTTTTTGCTCCCATTTTCAAGGATTCAAAGTTCTTTATTGTCATCTGCATCACATGTGGTACATGAGGTGGAATGAAACTGTGTTCCAGTTACATCCAAAAATACAAATTGTAAAAAGGAACAGTAAATAAGGATCTAAAATATAAACTGAGATGTATGCTAAACGAACGCCCAACGGTAGACTAAAAGATCTAAGATAAACACTAGTCACTAACAGTGCAAAACAATACACCGAACACCAGCAGCACGATTCTCATAAGTTCTGTTCGGCTATAATTTACACGCTTAACGCAAGCGGAGTCGGGCTCGGAGCCCCAAAACTAACATAAACTGGGATTTATTCAAAGCATGTAACAAAAATACAGAAACAAGGCGCAAAAAGTGAAAAAGAAATAAATCTACAGCAGCATGGTTCTATTGGCAGAGTGGTTCTGATGACAGTGAGGTTATCCTAGCAGCATGGTCCAGTTAGCAGCATGATACTGTTAGCGGTCTGGTTTTCATGAGTGGGTAGGAGTTACACTGTGAGATGGAGGCCATCTTGGATTTTGACATGGTACCCCAACTTTTTTATGGCCACTATTTTTACGCCTATGCAGCCACACACCAAAACAGAAATTGTCAGGTTGCCTATTTTCCAAGTTATTCATCTCACAAGGTTAACATACAGTATGGTGGCAGACATTTTGGATTTTGACATAGTGACCTAATTGTTGAAAATAACTTTTCTTATGCCAAGAGGTTTCCATAAACCAAAATGGAATTCATTACCTCCCTCTTTTTTTTTCCAAGTTATCATGCAAAGACAACACAGATGGATGAATGAAACTTATTTCCAAGACAGTCAGGAATGTAGTTTAGCAGCATTGATTTTCAAAAATTGATTCCTCAAAGCATAGTCTCATTGATCATGATCCCTTGGTCACAAATGCTTAGAATTCAGTGAGACTGCAATAGGAGATTTGCATACTTTTTCCAATGTTAAGTACAGTCACTGCTCAGTGAGACCCCACTTTCAACGTGCAGTTTTAAAAGTCTCTCGTGTCTTGTGTTTATTTTCTGTGCAAACAGCGGAATGTGGCAGCAGTTTTAAGGGTCAGTCCACAGGCCGGATCCTTTCTCCGGGGTATCCCTTTCCCTATGATAACAACTTGAGGTGCACCTGGACTATTGAGGTCAACTCTGGCAACATCGTCAGGTAACTTCAGCTTCAGATAAATGTATCAATAAATACATACAAAAAAATAAGGTAAAACAAGGTATTCAATGGCTAGCTTGGGTAAAACTACAACGATTTTAATTAAAAGAGCAAGCATTTCAAGTGGATTTGAACAGTAAATACTTGTAAATTCAAAGAGCAGTTAACATGTTAACACCTCAAAGGATGAAAACATCCTAAAGTGTTTTCATGGTATGTTAAGTAACTAAAGAGTGGACCTAATGTACCATGTCATCAGTAGAAAATGGCCTGCGGCAGCTCCATTACTGATGAATGGTGGAGGGACTTGGACAGCCCCCAGGGGAATATTCCTGAGACATGAAAGGTCTCTTCTCTTTTCTTTCTGTTGCCAGCTCCATGTATTACTGGGAAACAGAACTCATTTTGGCGTAAAGGTCGATGTAAACAGTCACCCTCACTGACACTTTTTGTCAGAAGAGCTACTTCAGGCTATCTTCTGATGAGACTGCAGAGAAGACTCTGGTCTTGTTCTTGATTATTAAATTTGGAAGCTTATGAGCAATGTCAAACCTTAACTGAATTACTCATAAGCATAGAGACAGTGATTTGTGGTCATTTTTTGTGTTGATCTCTTTGTTGTTTAACTCATATAAACATTTATTTCTTGCTGTGTTTTGACAACAAAATTGCTTAAGACGATAATTTAACTAAACATAATTGAATAAACTGATTGGTTTGATTGGATTTCAGTTCTTTATCTTACACAAGCGTAAATATTCCTGTTAAATTTAGTGAAGTAATGCATTTTGGGCCAACACGCTCTCATCTTCACCTTTTTTCAGTCTGCAGTTTCTTGCCTTCGACACCGAGGCATCTCATGACATTTTGAAGGTGTGGGACGGGCCTCCTGAAAACGAGATGTCTCTGAAGGAGGTCAGCGGTTCGCTGCTGCCGGAGGGAATCCATTCCACCCTCAACATCGTCACCATTCAGTTCGAAACAGACTTTTACATCACCAAGTCTGGGTTTGCCATCGACTTCTCCAGTAAGTATTCTTTTTAAAATGTGCGGTCCCTCTAAA